GGGTTTCTTTCCACTTTTCCTATCTTTCTCTCTCCCTCCCTTTTTATTGTCTTGAAAGGATGACCCGATAGTGTAGAAGTTGGACTTGTGATCGTGAGGTGATGAATTCAAATTCTCTAAGTCTCAGGTCATTTGTCACACATGATTTGCCCTAATGTGACTTTTCTGTCGGGCCTAATTTGCAGGGTATTAGGTTCGGCCGGGGGTTTACCCGATGCGCACTTTCAGGTAGCGACTGCGGGTTTCCCCGTCATCCAAAAAAAATGAAAATATATTAATTATTATTATTATTATTATTATTATTAATTTTGAACTTGTGATCGTGAAGTTATGAGTTCAAACTTAAATACTTTCGGATACATTTGTTACATATGATTCACCTTTGTATAATTTATCTTGTCGAACTTAATTTGTTGAATATTAAATTCGATAAGAGGTTTATCCCGTGTGAAAGTGGGTTCTCACTTTATAAAAAATAATAATAATAATTTTTGGACAACCTTAATTAATTATTTATGGCTTCTCCAAAAATATTTGTTTGTTTTGAATTAGGGTTTGTGCTGCCCCTAAAAGAGGTATTCTTCATCATTTGTTTGTTAGCTTAGGGTGATGAGTATGACACTCCCACATGCATTCTAGTTCATCCCTTAATATATCTATATATATTTGCTATATTGTTTCTTACATCATCATCAGATCCGAGAATTCTTCTTTGGAAATTTATATGTAAAAAAACTAAATCAAAATGGAATGAATATTCAATTCCAAGAATATAAAATTACTATTAAATAAATACTCCCCCGTCACTATAAGAAAATATCATTTTTGTAACAAGATTTTTTCGTTTCTAAATTTACTTTTTCCGTTACTAATGATATTAGAGACGGAATTAATGATGGAATTACGTTAGCTACGTGATCTTTAGTTACGGAATTCCGTTACAAATATTCTATTTTTTTTGTAGTGCGTCTCTTAAAATTAGCAATTTAGGTCCAACATGTAAATTTAAATATAAATATTTATTTAAAAAAATAATAGAAATAAAAAAATAGCTGCAGATATTTTTCGAAATCTAATTAGAATTTAAAGTAAATAAAAAGAATGTAATCAATACAGTAATATATGTTATAAATAAGTGTTCATTCAAATATACTAATAGTTAAATATTAATTTATTAATACGGCCAAATTAGTAACGAAATAAATTACCAAAATTGATTAAAAAAAGAATTAAAATAAATTTGGACGGACATAATGAATAATTTTTCTGATTAATAAATTAGGAATATAAAAAATTAATATCATATTAATTTCATTACTCAACTAAAATTAATATTATTGTGTTTGTTATTGGGCTCGACTGGATTTGTCGAGTCTTAGATTTGGGCTTGAGTAATTTTAGTTGGGCTTCACTCATTTTCTTATTGGACTATTGCTTTCATAAATTTACTTCTCATATTTGTTCCTTAATTTTACTTTTTTTTTTTCTATTTTTTTTTTAAAATACAGTTTTAAAATAGTAGTAATTCTGAAAGTTTGTTTTTTCTAAAAAAAAAGAATAATTATTATTTTACTCTATTTTATATGATTTTATAAATTATATTAATAAATAGTTTTGTTAAAAAAAATTAAGATGTTTTAAATTACAAATAACATCCAAAGAACTGAAATTATGGTAATATATATAAAGATAAAAATTATAACTGTCAAAATCGATTGACTGTGTGGATTAATCGGCAACCTACTGTAATTTGTAAATACACGGGTTGTTGGCGGATCAACCCACAACGCATTAGGTTAAATTTAGTCGATCCAATCCAATCCATGACAAGACAAGATTACATATAGGGTGGTGAGTTTAACGGGCTAAGGCCATCCGCATCAATGAAACCTAACATGGATTTCTTCCATCTCTCTTCTCTTCCACGTCATATTCTCTTTCTGCCAAGTCATCGGAGAAGCTCATTTCATTTTATACATTCATCAAACAAATTTATTTACACAAATTTTAATTTATCTTTCCTCCATATTATTAAATTATATATTTTTAAAATAATTTAAATAATAATAATTTTTATCTAATATACATATTTATTAGTATTTATTCATTTAATAATTTAATTTATAAACAATAATAAATATTTATTATTGATGTGATGTGAAAATTTAATTTTATAGTACAATTTTTTGTATTTATGTGTCTTTAAAAAATAAAATAAATTATATTGAATAAATTATAAGATAATAAAAAAAATTAAATTAGTATTATTATTAATTGATTATATTTAATTAAAATTTTATTTTAAAAAAATATATCAATATTAGCATCATTTTGTAAAAAATAAAATTTTATAAAATATAAAAATATAAAAATTATTAATAAATATTTATATAATAAAAATATAATGTATAAAAGATAATTAAAATTGAATATTTTTTTTTTTGCCATGTGCAAGAATACATTTATGTCAGGGTTTTATGGAATTGCTGCAGAAGCAGCCGGCTCTCTAAACTGGTACTAAAAAAAATGATTTTTAATTTTTTTTTTTTTAATCTGACGAGAGAACCCCACCAATGCGGATGGCCTAATCCATCCGCTTTTTAAACATATTTAAAATATATTAAAATTGTAAATATTTTTGTCATTAATATAAAAAAAAAGTTAAAGTTGTTGTATAAATTAATAATAGAAATTCTTTTAAAACTAAATCAAAATTAATTTTGCAAATATGTTTGTAAATTATAAATGACAAAAAATTATAAAGCAATAAAATAAAAAAATATTGAAAAATAGGAACAGAGAAGAGAATGACTGAGAGAGTTAGAAAAGAAGATGAAGATTAATTAATTGATTTAACCTCTTATAAAGTTTTTTAATAAAGTAATCAATTAATTTAATTTCATATAAAATATTTTTAAAAATTATTAAAAAATATAATTATAATATAAATAATTTTTTCTCGATCTCAACTAAAGGTATCTATTTATAATAGATTAAAATAGTAATTTTTTTTTTTATTGATTAGAGACCTTATATAAAATAATTTTAATATTAATAATAATTATTTTCATTGTAATATAAAAATAACATTTTTTAGTGTGATAATTGTAAATGATAAAAAATACCTCGCATGCTAATTGACTAATCCTCTCTCAACTAACTGTCCTGTGTGGGTTGACTCATTTAGATCATTATTTTAACGAATTTAAAAAATTACAATTCAACTTTCCTTAAAAGTGAGACAAGCCTGATCAATCAAACGGACTCAATATATGTTGACAACTCTAATAAAACACAAATACTCCATCCGTTTCATAAGAAAGATACAATTTTTTATTTTTTATGTCCTAAAACAGGGTATTAATTCTTAATTTAGCTGTACTACTTACTTAACATAATAAATATCTTTACAATTTATAATATATTATACAAATATCATTACTTTTATAACATACCATACTAATAGAGACATTTTTTTTTTACTACAAACTAATATAATACTAATATTAAAAAATTTATGTGAAAAAACAAACGGTGCTCTTTTTGCGGAATAGAAAAAATATATTTTTTGATAAAAAATTCTGGTTATTTCCCCTTTCGTCCTCGGTCACTTCAAAATATTTCCCCCGCTAACACTTTATGTGTAAATTACAAAGGAAATATAATCAATTTTTGCGGATCGATATAGTAATAATTAAATAAAAAATTACATTAGTCTATTGTACTCCGTTTATTCTAATTTTTTTAGTAGTAAATTTCAAGATATTTTATATTATTTTTTCTTATTTAACATTTTAAATAAAATTTATAAAATATTTTAAACAAAAAATAGGGTCAAAATTGTCAAAAAAATAAAAAATAAAAATGACATCAATTAAAAATAAAGACGAAAAAAAAACTAACAATTTAGAACTCGGGTATATTTTGACTTAAAAAAATGTGTTTATTTATTATTTTTAGTTTAAAGTCTTTTTAACGTGTTTTTTAAATATACATAAGTAATATAAAATATAATATATATTTTTAAATGATTAACTTTTGCTAATAATTAAAATGCATAGTATTATATACTATTATATGTTGTAGTATATGTTGTACATAGTGTATTTTTTTTAATAGTATTAATAAATAAATAAAAAGTATAAAAATGATAATTGGATAAGCACAAACATTATTTTAAGAAATTGTTTCATGATTTATATTTATTTATAAGTAAAAATAAAATACTCATTCTGTATTTTTAATAAAAATGCAAATAATATCTGTTGTGTTATTTATTGGGGAAAACTATCTTATATTAAATTAAAGTACACCACATACGAGAAACCATCGTTCTACAATTGGTATATTTTGAATTCTACAATTTATATGTAATGTTTTACATGTTACAATAATATTTAATTACTCAATCCAGTGTTCTACTAGAATTTGATTTATTAATTTGATATTTTGTAAGGAACAATAGTGTATATATATATATATATATTACATAGAATCATAATAGTAAACCAAACTAGAAAAGAAAATACATTATATTTGGGAACATTAACAATTTTTAATTTCTTAAAAAGAAAAAAAAAATTAAATTTAAAAAGTACATAGGAAAGTAAAATTTAAAAAGTTAAAAACATAAGTCTAAAATATGTTGGAATTAATCCTAGATTATCAAATTTTAGTAGATAGATTAGATTAGATTATTTTCTTTGTCTAGATATTGAAAAGATTATGGTTTATCTACTCCTTTCCAACCCTATAAATATATGTGTTAAGAGTCATTAGTTTACAAAATCAACTTGTGATGATCAAAGTACTTTTAAATATTCGACTTAACATCGATCCCATTACCCGAAACTTTTATTAAGTTATCTTGTTTGTGAATTTAAGGTTAGCAACAAGGAACAAAATGTTCTACAACCATTTTTGTAGCAAACAAATCCATTAATGAAACAAATTAAAGGAGCAACAAAATGTTCAGCTTATGCAAACACTCATCCCTTAAGCTACCAAAAATGAACTATTTCTTCGGTGTCGCTCCCAAATGCCTCCAGAAAAGCTAAGCCATCCGGAAATGGCGAATAAATGTCGTTGAAGTGGAACAGTGGCGAATACACCGGTGGGATCAATGGCTGAATGTTTGGGCCATAGAAATCAACATTTTTTAATGTTCCTTCTTCTACTAAACCTTTGTTTTCTCCTTCTTTGACACTCACAGGTTCCATCACAATTTTGAGGTTTGCATCTTCCCCAATTTGTGAAGATGATGGCACTTTTTCTGCCTTAGTTTGAAAATCTGAGTGCTTATTAGTTAGATCACTTGAGGACTTCTTGTTCAAATGGGTATTCCAGTAGTTTTTGATCTCGTTGTCAGTCCGGCCAGGAAGCCTGCCGGCTATCAGTGACCAACTGCGCACAATGAATCGAACTTAATTTGATCATAAGTTATAGATGTTAATCAGTGATTGTGTGGGGAAATCAAGTAGGTACAATCACTATGAAAAATAAGAAGGTTTGTAATGAATGTGATGTTTTGAGTAAAAAATAAGCATTAGATACAATATCTTATTTAGAAAAATTGAAAAATTGAATAGTAAAAATTATTATAAAAAAAAAAAGGGACTCGTGAAACAAACGACAAATACACATCACATTAACATTGGACTTTGCACAGTAATATTATGTGTTTTCAATTTCATTTTTAAACTATTTCCTTACAAGATAGACAAGATATGATCAGGTATGTTGTATTTGTTCAAAGATGACAATGTATCTTACCAAAGATTAGATTCTTTTCAAAATTTTTAGTGTTTAGACACTGCAAGAAAAAATCATTTTTATAACAAAATATTTTTGTCTCTAAATCTACTTTTTCCGCCACTAATGACATTAGAGATGGAATTAGAAATAGAATTAGATTAGCTACGTGAATTTTAGGGACGAAATTCCATTACAAATATATTATTTTTTTGTAGTGAGATAATACATGGGGTTCATAAACCCTAACCCTAACCCTAACAACCATATTGATCTAAGCTAATAAGATCGATCCACAACAAAAATGTGTAGCAAATTAAATTTTATAGCTTAAAAACTTTTGTTGCAACAAATATTAAAACTGCCGTTTTCTTTCTTTTTTCTTTTTTTAATTTCAAAAGCACAAATTACATAAGTAGCAAAAAGTTCCTTTAGACTTGCTCTTACTCAAGATCAAATGAAACATAGATCCATTACAATAGCAAAATTGTTGTATATACGAACCGATTTCCTAGAAGCTTATGCAGCCTAATAATGAGATCTTTTTCATCTTCAGACATCATCCCTCGTTTGATGTTAGGTCTCAGGTAATTCTTCCATCTCAACCTGCAGCTCTTTGCACCTCTTTGTAGACCTAACAAAATTAAAATAAAATTAAGAATTTTGCAGAAGTGTTCGAAATCATACATATTCTGAGTAGCTGAATTGTCGTAATTCGAAATGCCATTAGTTAATTAATAGTTACCTGATTTCTTGGACACAGATGTCCAATTGCCTTCTCCATGAGTCTCCACATATTTTTTGAGAATCAAGTCTTCTTCTGGCTTCCAGAAACCCTTCTTAGGCCTTGGATTCATCATTTCATAGACTTCAATCTTCAAATTAAATAGCTTTAATGAATTGTATATCTTGATTGGCTGAGTATATATGAACTGATGCTGTGAATATAGTAAATACACATCGGCTTTTTATACCTGGATTATTGGGAAGAAAATAATTTTTCACCAAATGATCGATCTTGCAAAGGCACCATAAGACAGCACTGAGGGTGGATATGTAGGGGCCCTTGATGGGGTTGCTTTTGCTTTATCATGTTATGCTGAAGCTGATTTTTTGTAAGAAAATCGACTCTCCACTTCAAGTGACACAAAGGTAAAGGAAATGCATGATATGCCCATTATTGTTAGAAAGTGAAACTTTGGTCATGATACATATGGAATACCCTACATAATGTTTCGAATTTGATAAAAAAAACACCGTTCACCCAAAGTTTTTAGATGAATTGATTTTTGGTGTATGACACGAGGAATTGTATAAAAAATATAAAATATACTCCCTTCATCCCTAATCAAAGGAGCCTTTAGATTTTTGTAATAGATTAAGAATAATAGTATTTTATTAGTCAGTAAATGTGTGTAAGAGAATATACATATTACCGTTTAACTTTATGTAAAAAATAATTGTACGTGTAATGGTATGTTTATAATTTAAATAAAATTTAATGATATTTTGGTATTACTATATGATTACTTTTTCTAAAATAGGAAAGAGATACTTTGAAGTGGGACGGACCAGATTTTAAAAAGGGTACTTTGAATTAGGAGGAAGAGAGTATTAATATTTGACTTTTTTGACTTTCTGTAACGAATATATAAAATTCTTTTTTGAGTTTTTTATTTTTATAAAAAGTGTTTTGTATTGTTTATATTATTATTTTTAGGGAATCGCAATTGAAAAATAATGTTGGAAGAACCTAGCGATGATATCTTGAAACAATTACTAAATCAAATGGCATAATGATTTAAGGTTTTTTATTTTCAAAATTTAGGAAAATTAAATTTTATGGCACAGTGTAGCCACAACCAAAGGAAAATTATACGAACATTTTATACTAGAGTATTATATACAATGTAGAATAGAAGCCATGGTTTTTAAACATTGCGGCAAAACGAAACCGGTTTGATCGGATCTCTACTCCTACTAACCTACCCTTTAGTGAAAACCACAAATTAATGTGTAATATGTCCAAAATATATTAACTCATTGAACTATTAATTATAAAAATTCAAATTTGAAGAGATGTAATAAGACAAGCAAATCGAGAACCATGTATACATTGATCTAGTGGAATCGAGTGAAAATGGTAGTTGGCGAAGAGTCCTAAGCCGATCAAAATCTATCGAAAAATGAGTTCATGCATATCTTGTCTGGTCTTATACAACTCTTTTTTTTTTTTTTTTTTTTTTTATCATAAAATAAATTCTAAAGCTAACTTCTTAAAAATAAATGATTAATAAGCACTACAAAAAAGTTGAAATTTAGTTTTTAAAAAAATTATAGCAAAAGATATGAATTCATAGCAAAAACGTTTGTGCGACGACACCTATACAGCGTTAGTAAAGGTCTTTTGTGACAAATATGACTTTCATAAAAAAAAAAAAAAAAATTAGCATTTTTTTTTTGCAATAAAAGTTTAAAAATAATATATAGCTAAACAAATATGATTTCGCAGCTAAAATTATTTTGCTATAAAACTAAAATTCATAACAAGAGAGTTTTAGTAAAAAAATATGTATGATTTTTTTAGCTATGAAAAATAATTGTCGCTAAAACATTTTTGCTATAAAAACATAATTTTCTAGCAAAAAAAAAATTTATCGACAAAATTAATTTTATAGTAAATAATTTACTTTTAGCGATAAAATTAATTTTTGTTGCTAAAAGACATGTTTTAACTACACAAATATTTTATAGTTAAAAATGTTATAGCTAATTAAATATATATATATATATATTTTGTAGTGAAGACAGAAGTTCTTTTTCTTTAAATTTTTTGCATAGAAAAATGAATTATTTAAAAATAAAATTCAATGAACTTCTTTTAGCTGCTAAATGTAAGAATGTTTAATAATTAATGAATTATATATATTTAAATATATTCACTTATTAGTACTTAATTAATACTCAAAATAAATCAACTTATAATATCTATTGTAAGGGTACTCCAACAATCCAAAGTGTTCTCAAAATTAAAACAGAAGTTTTCGAAATTAAGCAACCTTAATATTTTAAAAGTTGAATATTAAGCATTCAACATCCACATTTAACTTAATCAAATTCTCTATTGAAGCTCTAGAGATGATTAAATCCATCCTATATAGAAAAACCTAAGAATATATCTATCTATACATGTATCTTACGTAGTACTCCCTCCGTCCAATTTTTATTGTCCTAAAGTATATTTGCACGGTTTTTTAGGTGATTGTCTTTTTGTTATGAATCGACAAATTTGTGTTTAATTGTACGAGAGAGATTAAAAGTAATAAATGAATAAATGGTAAAAATGTAAATTTTGTATTTAAAAGAAAAAAAAATAGGACAACAGTTATTGAACGTCTCGAGTAGGAAAGTAGGACATTGGTTTGTGAACCGGGGGAGTATTACATATCTTACACATCCATCTTAGAAGCCCTTCAAACATTAGTTCATACATTTGTCCCTTTGGAAGAAAGATAAATTTGGCTATCCAACTCAACAATACAGTAAATATGGAAAGTTAGTTGCTACCAATACCATATAAAGCATAAACATAAAATGTCAGCCTTTTAATCCACTCATCACTCAAATATCTAAAAAGCAAATGGAAAATGAAACATATTGTTTCTGATGTATTATGCACTCACAATAAAAATAGTTTGAAATCAATTCTGCCATTCTGAATTATTTTCTTCATCTAAATATTTAAACTAACAGATTTTTATTCTGAATTATGCACATACAAGTCATAATTTTCAAACAAGAATGACTAACCACTTGATCTACAAAAACTTGGATTCTATCGACAATAATTAAAAGGGTTGATTGCAATTTTATGCTAGTAATGTATCCGCACTTTCTTAGTTTGTGAAAACTTTACATCTATTATATAGTCTTCCAATATGCTATTCGCGTGCAATATATACATATATAACGGTAGACTACTCTTCATCCTCGCACTCATACAAAAAAATTCCGATAAGATCTTTATTACCTTAAAGCATTTAAATTGCGGTAGATAAACTTTTTAAAGAAAAATTTTAGAATCTCAACTCCTCTAAACTTTACCTATAAGCTCAAGGATCAAAGTATAATATGCTCAAATCTCAAAGCTTATTCAAGTATTATCATTATTCAAGTCTAAGCCAAGCATGAAACTGTTTGAACTCTAAATTTCAAGACCACATTTTTTTAAGGAAAGAAACCATAACTCCATAAGCTCTGAATTATATATATATATACACACGTGTGCAAATATCACATGTTCTATTTGGCTTCAAAATAGGGTTTTATTTTTATTTTTTATTTTTAAATAAATTAGGGTTTATAAGGTTAAGGTTAATTAACCATCCATATATAAATTAATCAGATCTGCAAACTGAAAATTGAATTCAATCTCCCCCACAATATTTAGGGTAAACAAAATAAAAAATTAAATTAAGTGAGTAGAGGTTGAAGTGAAACCACTACAAGCAAGATAGGTGATGATAAATAATTGTACTATGAAAGTACGCATTTCATAAGAATAGTGATCTTTTAAGCTGGCCTTTTTCTTTCTGTTGGGATTTCAGATATATACATATTTTAGATTATTTTGTAATCGATTATTTTGTGAGTGAAAATGTGATGGATCGGTATACCAAATTAATTATATTAATTTATTTTGACTATTTTGTCTGTTTCGAGACAAATCAAATTTTGCAACCCCAAATTAAACCCGGGTATATGACCTAAGTCGCATTATTATTTGGATAAAATATTATCCGTTGATAGATTTATTATAATATCAAACAAAATGTTTGAAATTAGATCGTTACAAACGAAAAATTTATAATTAGAATTAATTACGACTGTTTCAAACGGAAGGTTTGAACTTAGAATAAATTACATCGATAATTAAGGTCGTAATTATGATCGTAATTGATCTCCTGCTATTTTGGCCGAGTGGAGACGCCTGTATAAAGGGCCTCCCCTTCATTCTAAATACCAACGCCAACAACTCTCTCCTCATTCTCTCATCTCTTTCAGCTTTCCGGCAACCTCTTCACTTCTCTCGTTTTTGTTCGTCGGAGCTTCAACGATTAGAGGTGCCACTCTCATTGGAGACGGAAACCGTTTTATCTTTGGGTTAGAACGTCAGCCACCAGAGGTATTACCGGGGCATATCTAATTTTCAGAAAGATGATCCATCTTCGACTCAGTTTCACGATTATTCTCACAATACTCATATATTCCAACAATCGAAAATTAGATACTACTTTGCAAGAATGTCAATCCCTTCCGAAGTCACCGCCGGAACAGCCGCCGGAGTTGGTTTCATATAGAGTTGGTTTCACTGATGAAAAAATTGGTTACATATAGAGTTGGTTTCACTAATGCCCAGAATAATAATAATATTTGAGAAAATGAAGATAAAAAAGATAGGAAAGTAGTAAAATGCTGATTTTAAGTACTAAACTCTGATGTTCAAGAAACATTAATAAATGTTTCATCGCAAAACAATAACCGTGTGAATTTCATCTAATTTCAAAAAAATGAAGTAAAAAATCGACCAAAGTAATAAATGTTTGACAATAATTAATCTCTTCGATCAATGTGATAGTTAAATCTTAAAAATAGACCATTTTGAACTCATGATTACTTGCTGCAATTCCATTCCACTAACAAGTTTTCCCTTTTACCAAAAACCCACATGATGATGAATAGATGTTCATAAATTAAAGATGACATGCACGAGTGAGTGAGTGAGTGTCTCTTTTCTGTAGGCAAATGTTTTTGGAGTGGCAGAAACTACAGCTGTTTCAACATACATATATATAATGTA